AATACTTTATTTTAGCTGGAATTAATTTTTGCTGGAAAGACATTTTGGCTGTTTTGTATGAAATTTATTTTCACTGATTTTTCAAAAGTTGAATGTAAATTATAGAAGAAAAAAAAGTATTTCCACAGGATTTTATTTTTACTGATTTATTCTCTCGGCAAAAATGAATTGCAAGTGAAAATAATTTACAGTATCCTAAAATGTATGCGCTACTGATGGAGCAAATACAGTATACGAGTTTAGCCAACATGTTTCTGTGTCTCACATGTATCTATTATTAATATTATAAAATCAATATATGTTAACGATAACTCTATTCTACTGTAACTTTCCGCCTCATTAAGCTGATGGTTATCGCTCTCATTCATGTGACGTAAACAGACAGGAATCATTACATTAAATTGTTGATGGTATAACTGCCATTAACCTTCCTACTACATTGCACGTTATTTCATGCTATCACAATTTCTGTTGAATTCAAGTTTTGCATTTACTGAGATGTTGTTGAATATAAAACAATGCATTATGGGAGGGACATTTAAGTTTAGCATCAAATGAGCGTTTGTGCAAACCATCAAGAGAGAGAGACATTCAAGTTTACCATCTACTGAGAATGTAACCGAGCATATGTGCAATGCATCATGGAAGAGACATTCAAATACAGCATCTACTGAGCATGTTAATGGGCATATATGCATTGCAACATGGGAGAGACATTCAAATTTAGCATCTACTGAGTATATGTGCAATGCATCATGGGAGAAAAATTCAAATTTAGCATCTACTGAGCATATGTACAATGCATCATGGAAGAAACATTCAAATTTAGCATATGCTGAGCATATGTACAATGCATCATGGGAAAGACTTTCGAATTTAGCATCTACTGAGCATATGTGCAATGCATCATGGGAGAGACATTCAAAATTAGCATCTACTTAGCATGTTAATGGGCATATATGCAATGCAACATGGGAGACATTCGAATTTAGCATCTACTGAGCATATGTGCAATGCATCATGGGAGAGACATTCAAAATTAGCATTTTATGAGCATGTTACTGGGAGTGACATTCAAATTCAGCATCCACTGAGCATGTGCAATGCATTATGGGAGAGACATTCATATTTAGCATCTACTGAGCATATGTGCAATGCATCATGGGAGAGACATTCAAATTTAGCATCTACTGAGCATATGTGCAATGCATCATGGGAGAAACATTCAAATTCAGCATCTACTGAGCATGTTACTGAGCATATGTGCAAAGCATCATGGGGGAGACATTCAAATTTAGCATCTACTGAGTATGTTACTGAGCATATGTGCAATGCATTATGGGAGATACATTCAAATTCAGCTTCTACTGAGCATGTTACTGAGCATATGTGCAATGCATTATGGGAGAGACATTAAAATTTAGCATCTACTGAGCATTTGTGCAATGCATCATGGGAGAAACATTAGAATTCAGCATCTACTGAGCATTTTACTGAGCATATGTGCAAAGCATCATGGGAGAGACATTCAAATTTAGCATCTACTGAGAATGTTAGAGCAATAGAAACTAGCTGAATTATACATACATGTCAATTTGATAAAATGTATAATATATATTTGTGTTTCATATTGTATAAAAAGGTAACTATATGCAAATAAACCGATTTCTATCAAGAAAATGAAAATGTCATTTGATTTGCAATTATTTATTTATTTAATATTCAGTTACTGTAGAATACTTTATTTTCGCTTGGAATTTATTTTCGCTATTTTCGCTGAAGGGATGATTCCGTGAAAATAAAATCCAGCGAATATACTTTTTTTCCTATATTTCACATTAAACTCATGAAAAATCAGTGAAAATAAATTCCAAGCAAAGTGCCCAAACAGCCTTTTCAGCGAAAATTAATTCCAGGGAAAGTAAAGTATTCCACAGTATCACAGTTCATTATTTTTACCGCTAACTGTCAGAAACTTTGCATTTCCATGGATGCAATAAACTTCTTACTGTAATTAGTATTAAATATTACTAATACATATCGAGCAATGCCTGGCAAGCAAGCACAGCCTCAAAATGACACCACGCAAAATAAAAATTACCAAAAACATTATTTAAAGTTGAACTTTTTTCAGTCTGTTGCCAGAAAACAACTGAAGACGCTTTGTTCAACTTTGAAGTTTGCCAGGATACTTGTATGTTGTAGCATAGTGGTGTCGAAATAATTTCTATAAATTTGTACTCTGATAAAATATCATTTATTCGAGTTACTGTTAGCTGTACAACTATCTGAACAGATATTTTTACATTATGAGGACTGAGGTCTGCCTCTCAAATTAAAAATATCGATCCATATTTAAGAAACTTTGTTTTAAGCAAATGAACAAAAAACACCATTTTGGGGAGAAAAATGTAAAAAAAAATTGTAAATATGACGACATCACATGAACATGTATTCATTCAACTTTGGGTGAATATGGCAATAAAGTTGTGTGTCAGCTGTCAGTTAATCTAATGGAGTCTGACTGTGTTACACTCAGTGCTGATATGTACTAGTGATTTCATTTTGGCTAATTTTCTCGTTCAGCTTTGGATCTAATCTCCTGATTCATTCTACATGTATCATAATTAGAACCACACTACATTCGAGTGAAAGAACATGCATTTTAAAATGTTACAGGGATGTTTTGGTCTGGCACTTTATCTTGTAATAGCAGCAATATACATTGATCTACTAAACCAAATTGCCTGATTGAGCTGAACTGAAATGATTTTCCACAGTGATATATACCAGTACAATTTTATCATTGAAGAGTAAAATAGTGAGTGTATTATGTAAATGTATGTATTTTCTGTTGGTAAATTGTTATATATACACTATATATAAAATATATACTCAATTTTTCATCACCAGATGCTGGTTCTTCGATAGTCTCTGATACAATGTAAATAAAAACTGAGCTGAATTCATGTTTTTATCAAAAGCTCATAGAAGTTTTAGGGAAAATTAGTCATACTTGCTCTAATATATTTCAGCTCAAAAAATAGGAAAATACTAAATTTTCATAGACGCAAATCATTTGAAAGAGACATGCAGTTTTCCATAAGCTCTTTTTCATTTGAGAACTGGGATGAGCTGGGGTGAAGAGAAAAATAATGCTTTCTTTTGTCTAGGTTGGTTTATTATAGTAAATTTTCTTATTAATATTTGATGGATATTTTTTGTATAAATTTATGGAATAAAATCACAGTATACAAATTAAAATTATCAAAGCTTTAAATGCAAACATATATGTAGTACACAGCCAGTCATAAAAAGTCAATACAATTGTAATCAAATTTTTTTGCAAATATCACTGATCGCATGATGCTAAGCACAAAGTGCCTGGTTCAAAAATAAATAAAATCATAAATAAATTGGTGAAACGAACAGAGTTTAAAGTGAATGCAGAAATTATAAGAAAAATTATAAAATATGCCACACATACACACGAATTATTGTGTGGGTATAATTATTTAGATGATTAGGATGACCAGCTGTACATCAATGAGCTCTCAAAGCTGACATGATGTGTCACTGACGAAAAAAGATTTGCTGTGACGCAAGTAGATATTTTAATTTACTGGCGTGACTTGAATAGTTATGGAATTTGTAATTTTGTAAAATGTAATTTACTTTCATAAACAAAATAAGTAATATTTTTGTTTGTGTTTCAAGCCACCTAAACAGTCACATACAATTTTTATTTTTTTCTTGAAAACCGACCTTGCCAATAGAAAAAAAAATGACTCAACTTGATCTTGGGGAATACCATTTTGACTCTGAATCCTTACGACATCAGTTGTGTTAAAGAGCACACGGCTGTACACGTATACGTTTAGTGGTGTATATTACACACATAAACTTATCCTTGATGATGGGTGGGGTATTACTTGTGGCATCATAACATACCAAATCTTTCTGGATTTGGGCAATTTCTATGGTTATACGCCATTGCCCTGTCGCTGCCCTGCTAATGCAGACGACAGACACACGGCTGTACACGTATACGTTTAGTGGTGTATATTACACACATAAACTTATCCTTGATAATGGGTGGGGTATTACTTGTGGCATCATAATATACCAAATCTTTCTGGATTTGGGCAATTTCTATGGTTATGCGCCATTGCCCTGTCGCTGCCCTGCTAATGCAGACGACAGACGAATAAAGCCTAGTCGCAGTCACAGAATGTATTTTGTTTTTCAAATGTAAGGTACATACTTTATCTGATATGTGTATCAAAGAATAAATCATTAAACATTTCATATCAAGTAATTTTTTTTTCATGCTTTGTAGCTTTGGAGCATGGTGGAGATGGCCATTCCTTGGGCAGGACAACTGTTGACAGTCAATGCTCTATGACCATGCAGTAATTGTTGCATATTTTAACAATTTAATGTATTGCATAGTATTTTGGACACAAGAATGTGTCAACAATTTTTGTGAATGTTTTTTTTCCATATAGTTTAAAGTTTCAAATATTTATGCCCAATAAAGTGACTGACAACATCCAAAATGTGGTGCCCCATACAAAATTATTAAAAATGTGTTTTCTGTGGAATGTAAAGATTAATTAACACATGACATATTTATAACAGCACTCCAAAGAACCCCAGTAATGAACATTTTCATCTACAAATAATTAAAGTTGTCATTATAGCAATTACCTGGTATGTTTTCTATATTTAAATTTATTTAAATTAGTTAAATTAAATTTTCGTAATTATTAGTAATAACAATTTTTTCAGTCCATGTTCTGAGCAATATTTTTTAGACATTTTGGATTCTTTTTTGAAAAAGTGCATATCAAACAGTTTAGTTGTACTCAGTTATCCACTTTTTCTGTTCACTAACATAATCTTTACAAGTTTATTTTTGTTGTCACTGATTTGTTCTTACAACACAATGTTTTTTTTACAGCAAGTAAATAGATAGCAAACTATAACCATATACCTACCTCTTTTCGCAATGATCCGCTCGGACAATCTTTCATAAAATCTCGATGCCTAGAAAAAAACACAAAATTGATCCGAGGTTAGATTAAGTATTTATTTCCTTATTTTTCTTCATTCATTCATTCATTCATTCATTCATTCATGTATTTATGATTTAGTTATTCCTTCAATTATTTATTTAATTATTTATTTATTTATTTATTTATTTATTTATTGTCAATTTAGTTATTCCTTCAATTATCAGTTCTTAAATTATTAATTCATTAATGTGATATTGTTTTATTTTGTACAATCCACAACATATGCATGCATGAAGTACCGTATCTTTAATATGAAAATACCGCCATTCAGCCATCTTGAATTGAACCAAAAAAACGAATGGATGTGCATGTTTCTTATGATGTATGTGTGAAGTTTCAATGTGATTTGTTCAGGTCTGTCCAAGATACCGATAGGGATGCATGGACAAGAAAAAGAATATACAGAGGTCTGTTTTTGGACTTTGTCTGAACGGAAACTACGGGTGATACTGAAATGATCAACTACACCAACTACACATAAGACTTCACTTAAATTGCTGCTACAGTGATACCCTCCCTAAACCATATCCTCAAGATCAAAACAGGGACATATTTATCACAACCATGTCTTGTACAAATAAAAATTGCATTGCTATGGAGACAATACTACACACTTTAAATTTGTTTTTTTCAAATTTTTTAATTTACTTACAATCAATTAAATTACAAAGCAAGACAATTACTGGAAAAAAAATACTACACAATTTGTTCTTAACCAATATTCTTTACATATAGTCAATTAAAAAATATACGTATGATGTGTTTTTAATATGTGTATTAAAAAATATGTGTTATTTTTGTAAAAATTACTCAATTGAGAAGATTGTGACACAAGATTAATTTAAAAAAAAAATATTCACTGAAAACATTATCTATTGCTAAATGCGTACACATCATTTGTACTATTTTACTACACAAATAACCATCTATGCATGTCGAAAGATGGTTTTTTTTATTATCAGTTAGCCAGTAGAATTCTATTATCCGACGTGAATCACTCTCCTTAGACATGCAACAATACTTTTCAGTAAGTACATTTTTAAAATGAAAAGCTATGACAATCAAATGTGAAAGGTTCAACCTAATAAGGGTGCAAATTAGTATACAGTAAAAATATTCCAACAACAGCAGGGTTCTGCTTCTCAGTATGGATGTACAGTAATTAGGAAGGTTTCATACAAAGTAACATGTAACAGACATACACAAGTACTGCAAACTGCTATTAAAACATTTCTTTTCATCATAAGATATTGGCAAAAGTTGTGAAAATCAGCAAACTTTAACGTGAAATACTGCATATTCGTTGTGTTTTTATTTGCTATTTTTATTGCAATTTTATTGTTTTATGTGTATGGTAAACAAGCACAATATAAATTATAAATTAAAGCATAAATTATAATAATGAGAGAGAAACTACATCTCTTTATGATATACTGTTAGAATGCATGTATAAGCCTGTGTGCACTGTACTTGTTTGCTGTTTCTGTTACTGTCTTCATAATAAAGGTATTTTGATTTAAAATACAAAACTATTCAATATACACTGCTTGTCATTATTTATAGCCATTTACCCTCAATTATTGAATCCCGTACAAAATGAACATTCTCTTTTTACCGACTTCCTACAAAGAAATATCTCAATTGATAATAATAATAATATGAGGTTATTACGAAGATACCTCAAAGTATGCAAGAAGACAGTACAGCGAAAGTATGTGCGTCGGTCGATGCGATGGTGCCCTGTCTGAGTGCATACTTTGAGGTATTCTCATAATAACCTTATTATTATATATCTTTTTCTTCCAAGGATAGGATGCCAAAATTCAAAAAGTTTATAACAGAATCAGCGAACTTCTTTGTGTTGAGTCCGGTCAGACCCTGGTGGCAGCCATGTTTGTTTTTATTATTATTAGAGGACGCTTATGCACGTAAACAATCCATATTTGGAATTTGCATTCCCTTATATGGTAGGATGAAAATACCGCAAAATTAAGGCATGTTGTAACTTATGGCGTTACGATGACAGATGTATAATATTATCTTATATTGCCTCCTACTAAATATTGTTAAATTGGGTGAAAGAAAAAAAATTATAATTAATCAAATAAACTATGCATAAGTAAATAAAAGTTTAGAAGGAGTTAGTGTTAAATATGCTCCAAATATGGGGGTGGGCGCTCAGTCAAGCATGAGTGCTGAGTTGGACAAGTACAATATATATATAAAGAATGTATGTAAATGTACTTGAAAGTAAAAATATTTTTTGATAAAAAAAATAAATTAATGTAATACATTGAGTGATAGTTCAGTTAAAAATAGCAAAGGCAATGAAGTATCATTTTGAATTTATTTTTGTCTCAAGGTAACATAAATCCACACAAAAATAAATAACGAGACATCGCTTGAGAATAAAAAGTTAACGTACCCCAAAGGAATTCATGAAAATTATCTAATTTCCAGAATTAATGTGAAAGTCAAAGGTCAAGAATTTTCTTATTTTTATTTCTACTATTTATTTCAATGAAGGCAATTACATGCAATATAAAGCATCAAGTTGTTCAAGAGACCGGATGCAGACATGAATCGTCTTATAGAATTTCCAGATTGTTGGAAAGATGAGATACGAACATGCATTATCTGATGAGATTTATAGGTTGTTTGGGGGGGGGGGAGTGAACATTCATCATCAGGTGGAATTTCCAGCTTGTTGGAATTACCGGATACAGACATGCACCATCTTATGAAATTTCCAGGTTTTTGGAGGAACCAGATGTGGACACATATCATCTTATAGAATTTCCAGGTTGTTGGAAAGACCAGATGCAGACATGCATCATCCAATTGGATTTCAGTTTTTGGAAAGACCAGATGCAGACATGCATCGTTTAATGGAATTTCTGGGTTGTTGGAAAGACCAGATGTAGACATGCATCATCCAATGGGATTTCAGTTTTTGGAAAGACCAGATACAGACATGCATCATCCAATGGAATTTCAGGTTGTTGGAAAGACCAGATGGAATTTCTGGGTTGTTGGAAAGACCAGATGCAGACATGCATCATCCAATGGAATTTCTGGTTTTGGAAAGACCAGACACAGACATGCATCATCCAATGGAATTTCAGGTTGTTGGAAAGACCAGATGGAATTTCTGGGTTGTTGGAAAGACCAGATACATACATGCATCATCCAATGGAATTTCAGGTTGTTGGAAAGACCAGATACAGACATGCATCATCCAATGGAATTTCAGGTTGTTGGAAAGACCAGATGCAGACATGCATCACCCAATGGAATTTCTGGTTTTGGAAAGACCAGATACAGACATGCATCATCCAATGGAATTTCAGGTTGTTGGAAAGACCAGATGGAATTTCTGGGTTGTTGGAAAGACCAGATACAGACATGCATCATCCAATGGAATTTCAGGTTGTTGGAAATACCAGATACAGACATGCATCATCCAATGGAATTTCAGGTTGTTGGAAAGACCATTTGCAGACATGCATCATCCAATGGAATTTCTGGTTTTGGAAAGACCAGATACAGACATACATCATCCAATGGAATTTCAGGTTGTTGGAAAGACCAGATGGAATTTCTGGGTTGTTGGAAAGACCAGATACAGACATGCATCATCCAATGGAATTTCAGGTTGTTGAAAGGGTGTTTTCATCAGTAATTTCCACTTGTACCTTACATGTACCGTACTTATCCGGGTAAGAGCCCATGCCTGGGCAAATGCCCACCCCCCACTTTTGACACAATAAAGAAGTTGAGGTCATATCCGGGCACACGCCCAGGGGGTCTTTTTCTACACAAATTCATTGACTGTGGTTGTATTAACAGTTGACTTTCTTGAAGTCTGTCATGATACTTATAAAAATTGTTAATTGCGTAAAACAAGGGGTGGACGCAAAATAGCTGTGACAGCTTTCTGTCTTCAGGGCAGTGCGTTCACCGCTGATTTTTTTCAGAATCATAACAGTCAGCAAGTCTATAAAAATATGTATTTTAAAGCAGAAACGGTAGTTCTCTTTTTGAAATATGTCGTGGCCCCAAAAAGGGACGGCCGTTTGGTTTGTGCTTCTTTAGAAACAATTCAAGCAAATCGTATAAGGAGAGCTGCTAAGCAAGTGCCGCACTCGTTCGGCTTTAGCGTCGTCGACAATGAAAACAATGTTGCAATATTGTAGCAACCCGTACCTGAGAGAGTGCCTGAAATCACGTTTTGTAGCAGCTTGCGAATCCATAACGGGGGCCAGCAATTTTGCAATGTCGTGCCTAAGACTGCCAAATTTTTCACCATCTTTCATCACCGCTATTGCATTTCTGTCATGAAAACTATTCTTCTGTCGTTGGATAAAAAAAAAACTTCCTATTTCAAGTCCACCTTGATATCCATATAGTGAGACATTCCAACCGCCGGAACTTTCTGAATGATAACTTTCACTATGGTTGATAAGCGTCGAGTCTGATAAGAAAGCAATGTCACGATTTGACCTTTGTGATGAAATACTAGTAGTGATGTCATTCTTAG